GCCCCCAGGCTTCCCAACTCCTATGATATCTACTGGCTCATTCTGAATATCTTGCATCTACAGTTCTTGATTGTTCTATAAAGCCAATGTCAGGATTTATACCCAGATAAACTGACCTCTTATTTCCATCAAAGAATGTATGTGATCTAGGGATGCCAGCCTCCAGGTGGGACCAGGGGAGTCCCCAAAATTACAGTTCATATCCAGACTACAGAGATCAGTTCTCCTGCAACCCCAGCCCCCCAGCCCCCACCAGTGGCCAAGGGGGACCTGGCAACCCTAGTGTGAACATTGAATTACATTGCATCAACACACCCTCACCTTTAATCAGGACTGATGTCCATATTCTACATTTTTCTAATGTTAAGGGGGGCAAGGCAGGCTGAAATAGTCCTTTTAATCCTTAATTCTTGGATAAATTCTCCATGTCCTGATTGGGGGGTTGCAGTTTCAAATTATTTGGGGTTTGGTCTTCTCTTTCTGGTAACAGTGAGAAGTCACATAGCCTGTGAGCTGTGACTACATGATAACTTCACTTAGGGCAAGTGAAACTAAGGCACTTCAGCATTCCCTCCTGCTTTCACTGCCGCTTTGTGTCGGGGCTTCTACTTGGTTCTGCATTTATTTTAGGGGGGGTCAGCACTCAGACCACTTCCAGCACACTGTTGCCTCACACTTCCCCAAAGTGTTTTTGCTGCGAGCCTTTGTTCTGCTCCGTTTTGAAATTGATACTACTATTTAAAGTAGAATTGTTTCTGTGAGTACTTAAGCACGATCCACTGCCCTCCCCTGTTTCAGCCTCTTTTTTCTTTGGTCTACGTTAGGCAGCCAATTTACATGATAACAGATTTCCCCATGGGCAATTGCTGAACATTTACATTTGTTTAGAATCCATAGTGGTTTGGAGGATGGGAGAGCTACTGGAAAAAACAGTTTTTCAAGAAGCATTTCTAAGCCAAACAGACGTTGATCACAAACATCTCCCTCAAGAAAAAACAGATGCATGGATTGATGCATTTTGATTTGAAAATAAAACACTGATAATTGTATATTACCCCTGGATTATTCCCATTACATAATGTTAGCAAACCTTGCCCTGTTAACACTCAAATGCCTCATCCACTCAATGTCATTCCAATTTTCCTGGAAGAATTCCTCCCATCAGCCACAGCTCTGTGTAAAGGAAGAGAGAACACTAGGCATTGAAAGGAAGGGGGAAATATTATGCTGGCGCCCTGGCTACTCCTTCTCCAAAGGATAAGAGCAATCATGGCTCAAAACACACTTTCTTCTGTGAATATGCAGAAAGCATAATCTGCAGAGACTTGAGTTTACAGCACAAAGTGCCGAAGAATAATTACATATGCAGAATGAAAGGAAATGATTTGAATCAAAGGCATACCACCTCAAGTTCTGGGGAAATTGGGAGTAAAGACTGAATGCAGAAAGGCCCTAAAACAGAGTCAAGGAATTGCCCTCACTGAATCAGCTTAGCTTCCTTTCAGTGACATCATCACTAGTCCTTATTTGTTATGCAGTTACTTCATTGTTATCAGGAAGAGAACAAACCCATTTTGGGGGGAAATTAATTGTGCTGACATAGCAGCAGCACATGGGAGCTTTGAAGAGCCTTTGTCAGAAACTACCATGTCTGAGATGGAATTGCTGCTGCCACTTCTGCCCCAATGATATGCTCCAAAACATCCATGCAGTTTGGGACACGTACAGCTTCCTTCCTCAAACAAAATGTCTTTCAAGGTTCCCAACTGATGGGGCAAAATTGGAGAAGCACAAAGACTGAAGATGTTCATGAAATCTCTCCACACATACTCACACTGATGGTTTATATTGCATGTCACAGTCCTGCTCACTCCTCTTTTTTTTTTTAGTCCAACATATTGTGGGTAGAAAGGACATTAGATACTCTTTGAAGAATTTTATAGGCATGCTGAGAACTTTGACACAAACACAATCACCAAGCAAAGCAGCTTTGATTAAACTTCCTCAATGGCACATCTGCTTTCCTCAATAAAAATAACAAACTTGAATACATTAGGAGAGTGTTGAATCCCCAAGCATCGAGAATACTTGAATACATCTTATTAATTAGGAGAGGTACATATCCATAGCGTCATAGTTTGGTCATTAAAGGGAGCTACTTGTCGAACACATAATTGCTTGTAGTTCATCTCCCCTTTTCACCTGCATATTTTGATCCACCTGTTAAACTACCAGTATTGGAAACATTGCATCACCTGCTTTTTGTGCCTGCACAGTCAGAAGCATCTAATTCATGAAGTGATCACAAGATTATCTGGGTTCATGAGAAGACTAACACCAAAGACATAAGAGTAGTAAGTCTTACCTCAAAAATATCACATGGATTTATTTTCTTTCAAGAACTGAAGCTGATAGCAACAGATGTTGATAGCAACAGTCACATGAGGAAGCATCCTAATCATCCAAGAAAGCAGCCTAATCATACAAACAGACACAACTGAATTCATCTAAATAGTAAAACATGGGCTTCCTGATCACAACCCATGAACAGGATAATCACTGAACCAGCAGGTGACCCATCATGCCTGGTACTTATTAGAATTTATATAGCCATATATGTTGTGATTATCCTATATATATAAAAGGCAAGCCATGCTGGTGATGACTCACCTACTCTCCCATTGGCCACTGAGGAAGCTTCCTTGGTGTCCTCTTAGCCTGTCCTGCTGACTCCTCTATTCTTACACCCCCACTTTTGATGTGTTGCACCTTGGGAGTTGTAGTTCTCAGCTGGCCTTACTACAACCATAGCAAAGGGAATTACAACTACGACTCCCAAGTTGGGAGTCCCCAGAGGCTGTGGGGCATTAGCAGGGCATCTGTTAAACTGTTAATCAGTTAAAGTGTTAAACATGAAGCAGCTTTGGAATTGAAAGGAGTCAGGGGGAAAGGGAAGGCCTGGACATCTCTCTTAATTACAATTGATCTCCAGACTACAGAGATCAGTCCCCATGGAGAAAATGGTTGCTTTGGAGGGTGAGCTCTATGGCATTATACCTCACTGAAGTCCTTCAACAAACCTGGCTCTCCCCTTAGCATTGCTAACCTCCAGACGGCACCTGGAGATCTCCTGGAGAAAATGGCTGCTTTGGGCAGTGGACTCTATGGCATTATACCCTGCTGAGGTCCCTTCCTACCCTAAACGCTGCCTTCCCAGGCTCTACCCCTCAAATCTACAAGTATTTCCCAACCCAGAGTTAGCAACCCTGTAACTGGCTACAGAACCAATTTCCAGACCCTTGAAACCCATAAAACATGGCATGCGGCTTTCCTCCCATACTACTCACTTGGGGCAGCAAAGTGACTTTAGACAGCCCTGCCTTTCAGCTAAGCAGAAGGAAATAAACATGGCTCACCTCCCTCTATTTTCCCCTTCCCTCTGCCGGCCCACCAGCCACAGCGGAGACACTCACCTGGAGCCTCTTTCTAGAGCTCATTGCATTTTCCCCACAATGGGCCCTTACTCCTAGTTTAGTATAAACGTACTTTGTATACCATCTCAGTTATTCTTATAACAACCCTGAATATATGGCAGGTCAAAATGATTAATCTAAGCCACAGAGAGATCTGAACTGGGAATTTTCCAGCTCAGTGCTTGTGTTTCTCACAGTTTTGCATAACAATGAACATTGTCATTTAAAAATCATAGAAATCAAGTACATTTTAAAACCATTAAGTGTTTGCTAAAACTCAGCACTTAATATATTCCATAATTTTGTCTCCAAATGGCAAACATCGCCAGAAAAAAATATATATAAAACTGGAAGTAATTGCCTTCTAAAAGCCACATTACTTTCTCCTTCAGTGACAACTAACAATGAAATAACTAATATCTAATAGGCAGCTCCATAAATAACAGTTAAAGTCTTCAAGAGCATTTATTCATAAGGAAAGGTCTCGTCCTAATACATTGTAGCACTATGATGTCACGATTCAATGTCAGTATGAGAATTTAATTTCCTTTAACTTGTTTAATAGGCTCTCATCTAACAGAAAAATGCATGCTATGAAAATTACCTGTTAACTCTGATAGCAACAGTGACCCAAAAGCAACTCTTCAGATTCTATGCAAAATAATATTTATTTTCCCTAACAATCCTTATTCTACTTATCAAAACTCAGCTCTCTTTAGAGTAGTATCAGGGGGTTTCACATCCATAAGAAGTCTCCTTACACACACACCAATCCAGCAGCTCTTTATAGGTACAGAAGCACCAGTGTGAACACGGATGCTCCATTGTTTTTTTACAGGGTTTTTTCCTTCTACATGTGTGCCTCAGTCTGATCCAGAGCATGAACAGCTCATGTGACAAGAGAGAAGAACACGCAAATCACATTTTTTTTTATTTTTATATATGGATGTGTGTATGTGTGCATGTGAATGTGTGTGCACCTGGAAATCATGGCAACCTCTGATGACCAACCCCTACTGGGAGCCTGGAAGATATTCAGAGAGGTGGCTGAATAAAGCCTGCCCCCACCTCCCACCTTTGATATTTCAAGGAGTCGACCCTGCTTAGCTTCTGAGATCTGACGAGATCGGGCTTGCCTGGACTATCCAGGTCAGGGCCACAAAAATCACATTTGACCCCACACTCTCATTCCCTGTGAACTCCAGCTCATGGAAACTGACCATCAGAGCACAGGGTCCCAGTACTGAGTATTCATATGTCTGAAAAGAAGTGAACAATAAACAGAAATGCTAAGTGACATTAACATCCCACTTAGTCTAGGCCAAATTAAATCTCATTCTTGTTGTTATCTTCCAGAACCTTTTAGAATCTTTTGAATACAGAAAACAACTTGTGCACAACAATAATCGAGAATATCTATTAGTGTGCATTAGCATTCCACAAGAAAGCTTTTAAACTTCATCTATGCAGAACAAAACAAAACAAAAAATACAATGCATGATTTCTCCCACCCATCCGCCCCCATACCTTAGCTCGTTTTCTACCCTGAAGCCTTTTCTTCTTGCTAGGTCCATCAAGAACATTCGCCTGGTCACTCCCATTTTCTTCTCCAGAATAAAAATGACGATGTCATTGAACTGTATTTTGTAGGTGTTTGCAGGTGCTGAAAATTGCATCCCTCTCTGCTTTTTCCTCTTGGGAAGAATGTCTGTCATTTGGATCTTATCCATGACACAACCAGGCACTTTCTGTTGCTGTTGGCTGAAACCTGAACTTCACTCAGGAAAACATCAGCTCAAAGGCAGTTTTTGGTTGCCACCATCCAGTGATGTCATTTTGCTCTGTTTTTCTTCCCAAGTCAGAAACAGAAAGCTACACGGAGTAAACAGATCAATTGCCTTTCAACCCTGTCATGACTCAAAACACCTTTTGCAAACTTTCTCCAAGTCTGACAAGCAGAAAAACTGAAGCCGTCATTCCTCTCAACTCTATCTGGAAAAAACTAACTGGGGGGGGGGGGGAAAGACACATCATTTTAGAAAACTTTAGAGTTTGTTTGTGGACTCTCTCTTACAGGGCAATAAAACAACTGGATTTGTTTTGTTTGGGGTGGCTCCATATTACATTTTTGTGCTGCTCGGTGGTTTCTTTTATGCCTTTAGCTGCATATGGAATAGTGGAGGATCCACAGGTTGGTGGATGTACTGTCACTGAAATAATTCATCTTCCAGGATTTCCCATCTATACAGATGCACTGTTTTATGCTGACCACAACTCTACTCCCTGCCAGCAGTTACTGACGTCTGCTGAGATATCTCTTCATGACCTTAAAAAAACTGATTTGCATTACTACTTCATTACCATCCCTGTATGACTATTAAGCAACAAATCCACTAAACCTATGTCCAGTTACCAGGAAGCAATTGGTGCAACCCCTCCCTCAATAAGGCTGCATTCAAATTTCAGATAACTCTAGTTAAAAACTCCAAGCTCTCCTTGGCAGATTTTCATCAGGTAAGAAATGGTGATGGTAAGAAATGGTGCTAATTCTTAATGGCATTGTAGGACTAATGACTTTAAACATACACACATGAACACACACACACACACACACACACATGTACAGCTCCGGTTACTGCATTGTTCAGAGGCCAGGAAACTGCAATGAAAAGGAAGTGGCAAAAGAATGCCCATGCCACAGAAACGGTGCTTCTATTCCAAAACATCAACAAGAAATGCAAACCTCTACTGGAAAAACTGGGCGAGTAATGGGGAAAGAATTGCAGATTGCTGCCGATGTCATCTGGAACCACCCTTATAACTAAGTATAGGTAGTAACTACATCAGAGTTGACTGGTGTGACACCATGCTTAATCAAGAACTAGATCATGGACTCACCAGGTCAGTGGCTAACTCGTGCATTTAGGCAAAATGTTTCTTGCAAGTATAACTGTGACAGTCATTCCAAGGAAATTCCTCCTTAGATTTAACATGAGGTCCTCAAAAGCTTTTTTGAGTGTATCACACAACCTATTCACTACATATAAGTACAGAAATATATGGTACAAGGAGAGGAGAATTTGTGATGAGAGTAGCCTTTATTCTTCCCTGCTTACTAATTCTCCCTTGCAAATGCCTCCCGAGGAAGTTTTTTAGCATTTTTCGTCAGCCCAGTTCCAAATCCAGGTGTAAGCCTGGCTGGAGGGGTAAAACCAGCAAAAGGCATTTGCTGGGGAAAGTTAGGGGAAAGTCTAAGAGCTGGTCCCTCATGTCAAATGCCCCTTCTCTGTTTCATTCATGCTCTTAGCAAACACAGGATTGGGGAAACCATTTGCTAAGCTAACATGTAGTTCCACCCTGGCACATCATGCATTGCCCTTTTGTGAGTGCCATCACACATCAGCTAAGATCATGGGAAATGCCCAAATATGCTTTCAATGTTAATGTCCTCATCCCACAACCAGTGGGAAATAAGCAGATAAGCAGTGGGAGATAAGCAAACTTTTTTAAAAAAAACTCTCAGAACCTTCATTTTGTATTATGCTTTCTTCAACATATGCTACATCTATGTGCCATCTGTCTGTCTTGCCCTCCGGATGTTAGACATGGTATCTCTTCCCACATTTAATTCTCACATCAACCCTATGAGGTAAGTTAGGCTGACAGCAAAATGACTGGTCCAAGATCACCCAGCAGAGTAGAGATCTGAACCTGGATCTTCCGTATCCTAGGCTGATTCTGCATTGGCTTTTCCCTCCGTTGTTTTACGAAACCCACATTGGAACAGAAATTCCCCTCTGCATCGCATGCTGGTTTCACTTCCTTTGATTATCGAGTTTTATGGTAGCTTTCACACTCCATGCCACTTTTGAGTTCCTTGATCGTTGGATTTAATGGTACCTTCTGCATAGATTTATGGCCGTTTTATGGCTGTTCAGGGGTGACTTTGCAGTCAGTACGGGCGTTGCCCCCCAGTTGAGAAAATGTGGAGTGAATGCTAGATGCAGAATCGCCTCTAGTCTCCTGTGGCCCTCTACTATATATTATCTACTATGTGTTACATTCTAGGCAACTTGGTGCACTGGACAGATTTCACATATTCAGATAAAGAGGTGGGTTGGTTTATATATTGAGAAACTAGGCAAATATCCAATCGGAATTTAAACACATACACTTTCCCTTGGTCACCACAAACAACAGGCATCAGGGCTGGCAAAAGGCCAGCCCAAAGCAAAGCTGCTGCTACAAAGCTTTCCGTTATCTGAGTCACAACATCATATGCAATATCTTACTCTTCACTACCCATGATTAGTGATATAAAACCACACTGGCCACAGAACTGTTTGTTATACAGTGTGCATCTTGGTCTTCCTTAGGCTTTTCAAGAAAACAGGTCCATTTGATTAAGAAATGAGTGCAGAAGAGAGGTGAGAAATAATATTAAATCTTATTTTCAAAGAAGTATCAGGGCTAAAGAGACTTCCACAAAAGATTTGGATGATGAGTATTAGCACACAAAGCTGGTAAAAGTTAGCCAGCCTGGTTTTCTCCGGAAAAGCACAGGATGGCCTAGTCTTAAGGTGGTTTCTTGGTCAGAAGTTACGTTTCATTTAATTCAATGGGAGTTGTATTAAGTATGTTGTGGTTATGAATATCACTTATGTTATGTCCGCTGACCGCCACCAGGTGCCAGCAACTCATACCAGAGCTTGGTTCTCAGAGACAATAGGGACTAGGATCCTGAAACCTCTAGTGGTCACCAATAGGGACTTTGGCGGGACGTTTAAACCCTCCAATAGGACCTGTGAGTGGGCCAAGGGGACTGTATATAGTTGGCCGACCGGCTGGTATTTTCATTGTTATGTTGTGTATGAGTAAACATGTGCTGACTATCACTCTGTTTCCTGATCATTTGATGCGCCGAACCCACTACACAACAACTTACTTTAACAGGATCATGACTTAACATTTGGTGGGTTGTCCCCAGTAATCAGTGGGGAGAACATTTCAACCTCATTGGGTATTTAATAATGGACTCAGAATCATAGAGTTGGAAGGGACCTCCAGGGTCATCTAATCGAACCCCCTGCACAATGCAGGAAATTCACAACTACCTCCCCCCACATCCCCAGTGAACCCTGTTCCATGCCCAAATATGGCAAAAAAAACCTTCCAGGATTCCTGGCCAAACTGGCCTGGAGAAAATTGCTTCCTGAACCCAAAGTGGTGATCAGTATTTCCTTGGGCATGAAAGAAAGGGCCATGACAATAAAGCACTGATTCAGCCCTCCCTGCCCTCCCACTCATGATCTGCCTAAATTCACAGAATCAGCAGTGCTGGCAGATGGCCATCTAGCCTCTGCTTAAAAACCTTCAAAGGAGGAGCGCCCACCACCTCCTGAGGAAGCCTGTTACACTGAGGAACCACTCTGATTGTCAGGACTATAGTACTTCAGCAAAACTACAGTACTTCAGCAAGAGTTTCAAGACAAGACTCCAGTGAGAAGTTGCTGGCTTTGAACTCATTTCACTTAGAACTCATATATGGTACTTTTTGGTAC